ATACCCTTAATATAGCTACTATATACCCATTATATAGCCCATGTAGCCCATTATAGGGTAGGGGTCCTTGTTAAGGGTCCCTCCTTTTCCCCTTTGACCATTTTAAGAAGACCCAAAAGTGGCTTAGAAGTTCGGAAGTCTTGACCATGTATCCACATCTTCAAGCGGACCCTCATTTAGAGAACCACCCATCCCGATCGTAAGAAGAACCACCAGGGCTGTCCTGATTTCCACGGAACTTTCAAAACAGTATCCCTAAACCCTAAACCCTAGAATCCTACTTGGACCCCAAATGGGAGTTTCCGAAAATAGGGGACCCTACCATAGTACCCTAAATAGTAGGATCCTTATTATTTATGGGCTGCCGCCACTGCCGCCGACCCCAAAAGAAGAGAGGTGACTATCCAAGGAACGCAGCAGGTGTTGAAAGCAGCCACTGCAAGTCTTGTAACTGGCACGAGTAGCATGAGCACATGACTGATGCGGCGAAGTATTCGGACTGACGCAGTGCTCAGCTCTCGGACATTGTGTGCGCATGTTTCAGCAACCTTGTGACTCAGAGGCAAAAGGCATCCGCACAAAACCGAGTTTAGCAGGAGGGCTGTATACGATATGCTTAAGATACGGAACCAGTGCAGTTGTGGCCATGGGATGGTACGACAAAAAAAAAGTCGCGCGCGCGGCGGCGCATCGCAAAGCCGGGGCGGGCAGTGAGGACAATAAAGGTAGTGAGGGCGGTGGGGGCGGTGTTGGCGGTGGGGGCGATCGGGGTGGTGGGGGCGGTGTGGGCGTAGGCGGTGGGGGCGGTGTGGGCGGTGTGGCGGGCGGTGTGGGCGGTGGGGGCGGTGGGGGCGGTGTGGGCGGTTGGGCGGTGTGGGCGGTGGGGGCGGTGGGGGCGGTGTGGGCGGTGTGGGCGGTGGGGGCGGTGGGGGCGGTGGGGGCGGTGTGGGCGCGGGGGGGTCCGGCTTAACAGCCCCTAAATACTCTTTACTCTTTATACACCTACAAATACAGCGGGCGGTGAGAGCGGTGGAGACGGTGTGGGCGCGGGGGGGTCCGGGCACACATTGGCAGCCTTTAACTACTCTTTAATCTCTAAACACCTACAAATACAGCGGGCGGTGAGAGCGGTGGAGACGGTGAAAGCGGTGGAGGGGGATGAAGGTGGTGGGGGTGGTGAGGGCGGTGAGGGCGGTGTGGGCGGTGGGGGCGGTCGGTGTGGGCGGTGGGGGCGGTGGGGGCGGTGTGGGCGCGGGGGGGTCCGGGCACACATTGGCAGCCTTTAAGTACTCTTTACTCTTTAAACACCTACAAATACAGCGGGCGGTGAGAGCGGTGGAGACGGTGGGAACGGTGAAAGCCATGAAGGTGGCGGGGGTGGTGAGGGCGGTGAGGACGGTGTGGGCGGTGGGGGCGGTGTGGGCGGTGTGGGCGGTGGGGGCGGTGGGGGCGGTGTGGGCGCGGGGGGGGTCTGGGCACACATTGGCAGCCTTTATTACTCTTTACTCTTTAAACACCTACAAATACAGCGGGCGGTGAGAGCGGTGGAGACGGTGGGAACGGTGAAAGCGGTGGAGGGGGATGAAGGTGGTGGGGGTGGTGAGGGCGGTGAGGGCGGTGGGGGCGGTGTGGGCGGTGTGGGCGGTGTGGGCGGTGGGGGCGGTGGGGGCGGTGGGGGCGGTGTGGGCGCGGGGGGGTCCGGGCACACATTGGCAGCCTTTAATACTCTTTACTTTTTAAACACCTACAAATACAGCGGGCGGTCAGAGCGGTGGAGACGGTGGGAACGGTGAAAGCGGTGGAGGGGGATGAAGGTGGTGTGGTTGGTGAGGGCGGTGAGGGCGGTGTGGGTGGTGGGGGCGGTGTGGGCGGTGTGGGCGGTGTGGGCGGTGGGGGCGGTGGGGGCGGTGTGGGCGCGGGGGGGGCACATTGGCAGCCTTTAAATACTAGCTCTTTACTCTTTAAACACCTACAAATACAGCGGGCGGTGAGAGCGGTGGAGACGGTGGGAACGGTGAAAGCGGTGGAGGGGGATGAAGGTGGTGGGGGGTGGTGAGGGCGGTGAGGGCGGTGTGGGCGGTGGGGGCGGTGTGGGCGGTGGGGGCGGTGTGGGCGCGGGGGGGTCCGGGCACACATTGGCAGCCTTTAAATACTCTTTACTCTTTAAACACCTACATATACAGCGGGCGGTGAGAGCGGTGGAGACGGTGGGAACGGTGAAAGCGGTGGAGGGGGATGAAGGTGGTGGGGGTGGTGAGGGCGGTGTGGGCGGTGGGGGCGGTGTGGGCGGTGTGGGCGCGGAGGGGTCCGGGCACACATTGGCAGCCTTTAAATACTCTTTACTCTTTAAACACCTACAAATACAGCGGGCGGTGAGAGGGGTGGAGGCGGTGGGAACGGTGAAAGCGGTGGAGGGGGATGAAGGTGGTGGGGGTGGTGACGGCGGTGAGGGCGGTGTGGGCGGTGGGGGCGGTGTGGGCGGTGGGGGCGCGGGGGGGTCCGGGCACACATCGGCAGCCTTTAAATACTCTTTTTAAACACCTACAAAAACAGCGGGCGGTGAGAGCGGTGGAGACGGTGGGAACGGTGAAAGCGGTGGAGGGGGATGAAGGTGGTGGGGGTGGTGAGGGCGGTGGGGGCGGTGTGGGCAGTGGGGGCGGTGTGGGCGGTGGGGGCGCGGGGAGGTCCGGGCACACATCGGCAGCTTTTAAATACGCTTTACTCTTTAAACACCTACGAGAGCGGTGGAGACGGTGGCAACGGTGAAAGCGGTGGAGGGGGATGAAGGTGGTGGGGGTGGTGAGGGCGGTGAGGGCGGTGTGGGCGGTGGGGGGTGTGGGCGGTGTGGGCGGTGTGGGCGCGGGGGGGTCCGGGCACACATTGGCAGCCTTTAAATATTTTTTACTCTTTAAACACCTACAAATACAGCGGGCGGTGAGAGCGGTGGAGACGGTGGGAACGGTGAAAGCGGTGGAGGGGGTGGTGGGGGTGGTGAGGGCGGTGAGGGCGGTGTGGCGGTGGGGGCGGTGTGGGCGGTGTGGGTGGGCGGTGCGGACGGTGGGGGCGCGGGGGGGTCCGGGCACACATTGGCAGGCTTTAAATACTCTTTACTCTTTAAACACCTACAAATACAGCAGGCGGTGAGAGCGGTGGAGGGGGATGAAGGTGGTGGGGGTGGTGAGGGCGGTGAGGGCGGTGTGGGCGGTCGGGGCGGTGTGGGCGGTGGGGGCGCGGGGGGGTCCGGGCACACATTGGCAGCCTTTAAATACTCTTTACTCTTTAAACACCTACAAATACAGCGGGCAGTGAGAGCTGTGGAGACGGTGGGAACGGTGAAAGCGGTGGAGGGGGATGAAGGTGGTGGGGGTGGTGAGGGCGGTGAAGGCGGTGTGGGCGGTGGGGGCGGTGTGGGCGGTGGGGACGGTGTGGGCGGTGTGGGCGGTGTGGGCGCGGGGGGGTCCGGGCACACATTGGCAGCCTTTAAATACTCTTTACTCTTTAAACACCTACAAGTACAGCGGGCGGTGAGAGCGGTGGAGACGGTGGGAACGGTGAAAGCGGTGGAGGGGGATGAAGGTGGTGGGGGTGGTGAGGGCGGTGAGGGCGGTGTGGGCGGTGGGGGCGGTGTGGGCGGTGTGGGCGGTGGGGGTGCGGGGTGGTCCGGGCACACATCGGCAGGCTTTAAATACTCTTTACTCTTTAAACACCTACAAATACAGCGGGCGGTGAGAGCGGTGGAGACGGTGGGAACGGTGAAAGCGGTGGAGGGGGATGAAGGTGGTGGGGGTGGTGAGGGCGGTGAGGGCGGTGTGGGCGGTGGGGGCGGTGCGGTGTGGGCGGTGTGGGCGGTGCGGGGGGGTCCGGGCACACATTGGCAGCCTTTAAATACTCTTTACTCTTTAAACACCTACAAATACAGCGGGCGGTGAGAGCGGTGGAGACGGTGGGAACGGTGAAAGCGGTGGAGGGGGATGAAGGTGGTGGGGCGGTGAGGGCGGTGTGGGCGGTGGGGGCGGTGTGGGCGGTGGGGGCGCGGGGGGGTCCGGGCACACATTGGCAGCCTTTAAATACTCTTTACTCTTTAAACACCTACAAATACAGCGGGCAGTGAGACGGTGGGAGAAAGCGGTGGAGGGGGATGAAGGTGGTGGGGGTGGTGAGGGCGGTGAGGCGGTGTGGGCGGTGGGGGCGGTGTGGGCGGTGGGGACGGTGTGGGCGGTGTGGGCGGTGTGGGCGCGGGGGGGTCCGGGCACACATTGGCAGCCTTTAAATACTCTTTACTCTTTAAACACCTACAAGTACAGCGGGCGGTGAGAGCGGTGGAGACGGTGGGAACGGTGAAAGCGGTGGAGGGGGATGAAGGTGGTGGGGGTGGTGAGGGCGGTGAGGGCGGTGTGGGCGGTGGGGGCGGTGTGGGCGGTGTGGGCGGTGTGGGCGGTGGGGGTGCGGGGTGGTCCGGGCACACATCGGCAGGCTTTAAATACCTGCTAAACCCCGGAGCCTGGAATAAAGCATTGGATCCTCAAATGTCTAAGAATCAGGCGAATGGGTCGAGAATTTTTGACGGGGTCAACTTTATGCGTAAATGCGTTGGCCGCCGATTCCGAGATTCAGAAAGGGCCCAAGGGCCCAAGGGCTTGCATGTTTGATTCAGAGTATTCAGAAAGCCCCAGGCACAGTCCGATAATCCATGGTGTTAGCTAGCAACCCAATGTGCGAACAACATCGATCCCGACCTTAGCCCCCAAACTTCTGAATCACGTCCCTCGGTATATCTTTCAGCCGCACACAAATCCCAACCTGCACCCCAAAGCTTCGAGCCCTCGGTGCTCCGTCATGCCTTTGTACATGGACTTTGTGCCCCTGGCCTCCTTGTACTGCCGGCTTGTCTGAGGGTCGAGTCAAGTGTGGTCGGCAGGCATGTGCTGATGTCTTGCAGTGAAGCCTGTTTGCAAGTGAGATTTTGGGCTTGAGAAAGCTTTTTGAGTGGGGCTTTGGCCATGGATGCTTCGAAGCCTGAAGCAGTGGAGGACTCCCAGTCTGGGTCGAAAGATGATTCGCTTTCAGGGCTTGCATGCTTGTGGGACAACAATCCGGAAGTGAGGCAGCGAATGCGAAAGAAGTTCAACCTGTTGGTTCATTACGATCCCAAACTTCAGAAGAAGCTCAATGTAAAGGTGGAGAAGACCGCACACAATGTTCGAACGAATGCTGCCGTGTTGGGACCTGTTCTGAAGATTATGAAGCTGACGAATGGCCTTCCGGCTATAGACAAACTCATGGTGCAGGTCGCGGATGTGTTCGGGCGCTTTTCCATGCCAATTACAGAGAACCTTGCAAACTCGCAATCGTGGGCCATCCGGGATATGATTTCAGTCCTGAAGAAGAACAAAACCAAACATGCCTGGCACAAGGACAATGGGTTTGCAAGCATGTTGTGGCATGTCCGAAGAAACTCCATATTCCGTTTGTGCCATGCATGTGTCATATACCTTTGCTTTCACAGGACCCAGTGACCCGGCAGCTTCTCTTGGATATGGGTGTGTGTGAGGAGGAGGCGGGGTTGTTGCTGGATTGAGCTTTTCGCGGTTGGCTACGAAACATGTTGCCCAAACTGAGCAAGTGCACAAAGCTTCGGACAGGAGGGTGGGCAACTGAAGGTGGTGAGGCAGAAGTCCTTCAAGGAGATGTTTGCAAGTTGTCATGGCAGAAGCTTGCTGGGTTAGCACATTAGAGAATGCTTGGAAGTGTATTGTGCAGGAGGATTCTTTGCCTTTCTTGAAGCCGACGGTTGAAGATTCCCAGCCGCTTCCAGACGATGAAGCTTTGCAGCCGATTCAAAACACAATGGCCCCAGAAGACTCACAGCCGATCCAAGACAGTGCCCCAGAACACTGCTGGTTGAAGACAGTGCAGCCCCAGAAGTTTCGCAGCCGGTTCAAGTCGTGGCCCCAGAAGTTTCGCAGCCGGTTCAAAACATCGTGGCCCCAGAAGTTTCGCAGCCGGTTCAAAACATCGTGGCCCCAGAAGTTTCGGAGCCGGTTCAAGACAGTGTGGCCCCAGAAGTTTCGCAGCCGGTTCAAGACAGTGCAGCCCGAGAAGTTTCGCAGCCGGTTCACGACAGTGTGGCCCCAGAAGTTTCGCAGCCGGTTTCGGAGCTCGCCCCCGAGGCCCCAGTGTGTGATTGCAAATTGAGAAGATTTCGGAAGGTTCATGTCACGATTAGCTCATCGACGACGATTGGTGTGATGGTTTCGCATTCCTGTGTAAGACATGCATGATGTATACATGTTTGTGTGCCAAGCCCGAGCTCGGGCATTTGGTCAGGATCCATCCACTTCACAAGTACCATTTGCAGAGGCGGGGATTGCACAGAAGCTTCAGACCTGGCATGGCATTCTGAATCCGAACATGGTTTTCGCAGCAGATCACATGCTCATGCCAAGTATAGGTTATAGCGCCTGTATAGTGTCTTGAGCGAGAGTTTGCAATTGTTGAGTGGGCAGGTCGTCTGCTCGTCCGACGAGGAGACTGCTCACTTGGCCAACAGCAGCCACGAGGGTTTGTCCGCATATCTTGGAAATCTGCTGGCCCAGCTGTGTTTCAGCTGAACCGAATGAGTCGTGCAGTCTGATGCCGTGCATGCTTGATGGTGCTAGAAGTTGTGTGCCCCTATCTTGCAACCGCCGAATATGTTGAAACCGAGGAATGCTTCGCCCGGTCTGGGCAACATGGTGAAGCGAGGAGCTATGAGAGTGCAAGCCAGTCCTCAGCATGGCTCCCTGCCTTTAGCTGGACTACTCACATGGAGTTTTGAAAGTTGCAAGTATATAGCTGCGATGTACATCCTTATATCCACAGGTGACCTTGGCTCTGCTTCCATGAGCAATGATTCCTTCAAGAAGGATGAGGCACTTATGGATTGGTTTTGGCTTTCCTCATGCAACAACTGGGCTGGTGTATTCGAGGGTAGAGTGCAGTGAGCATCAGCCGTGCTTATGTCAAGACAAAAGCCATGTGTAATGATTCGGTATGAACCCGAACCTTTTGTGGAGGCCCCTCAGAGCACGGCTGTGGACGAGACGGGTGGCCCAGGTGCCGCCTTGGAGACTGCAGTGGGCCCTTCCAAGGGCGATGTGCATGAGAATCCGGACGAGAAGGGCGGCCCGGGTGATGCATTGGAGACTGCAGAGGGCAATGTGCATAAGGATCCGGGCGACACGAGCTTTCCAGAAGTTACTCAGGAGGGCTATGTGACACGCAGGGATCAGTTTGGCATGAAGTCTTCATTGAAAGGTCAAAGAGGCCGGGGGCGAGGCCGAGGCAGGGGTGGCCGGGGCCCCACGGCTGCAAAGTCAAAGCCTTCGAAGAAAGAACCCGAAGGTGTGTACAGTGCCTCGAGCAAGGGGCCCGTGGAGGAAGGATCGGGGCTCCGCCGCATGAAGAATCATGTGGCTTTGGGTGACGATGACGAAGGCCAGTCCGAGGACGAGGAGCCCGAGGACGGCGAGCCCGAAGAGGAGCAGAGCGAGCATGAGGATGAGAAGCCGAGAAAGAAGCCGAGTGCGAGAGGACAGCCCAAGGCGAAAGCCACGGCAAAGGCAAAGTCAGCCTTGCCGAAGAGCAAGGCCAAAGCCAAAGCCAAGGCCAAGGCCTCGGCGAAGTCCAGTGCCAAAGCCTCGAAGGTTGTCGCTGGGGATGGGGATGACCCGGAGCCACCAAGCAAGAAGGCCAAGACAGCCAAGAGTGCCGATGGAGAAGCAGATGTTCCGGAGCCAGCAAACAAGAAGGCCAAGACTGCAAACCGCAAAGAAGCTTTGGAGGCAGCTTTCAAGAAGACGTTCCATGAGTACACCCAGCTTCGAAAGCCCGAGCCCCTGGTTTTCCATGACATGAATGCCAATGCTGCTCTGTCCAATCCGGACCACATTCGTGCGGTGCTGAAGTACGAGTGCATGAAGTGTTTGATCGACTGCTACAAGGCCGGCGAGGCCGACAAGAGAGGCAAGCACGATCACTTGGAGAAGTTGTTTGCACCCGATGGTTACCGCTACGAGCTGTATTGGACCAGATTCTCCGTGGGGGTCAAGAGGCAGGACGGCGACGAGTACAAGCAGATTGTGTACTTTTCGAGGCCAACGACATGCACAGGCACGAACCGGGTGCTGGCAAGGTATTTCGCCTGGGACTTGGATGATTTGCCAAATTGTTTGTGATGTGCCATAAATGATTCGGCCCCATGCAGCTCCAAAGTGCACTTGGATTCATGGTTGGTCTCAGGTTGCTTTGTGCTCTTCGTTCCCTCGAAACACCGACCCTGCTTGCAGAGCTCTGAGCCATTTCAAAGCCATAGCCGCCACAGCACACGCAGAGGCTGTGTCAGGATGGTTGCCGTGAAAAGTGTACATCAAGAGGTGCCTGCAGTGCATGTGGAGCTTTATACAACTTGAGTGTGCAATCATCTCCAACCATGCATGGTAAATGGTGTGTACGTTTTTGTCCTTGGGCCACACGAAATCCTGCAGGCATCGCTTTCGAGACGGCTCCCGGACTTAGGAGCTAATAGGGGAGCACAGCGAGCAGCATGAGCATCATCGTGCTTAATTGCAGCCTTTTGCACACACACACACACATATGAACACATGGTTTGTCCAATCAGATTGCTCGCATGGTTCAGCCAGGGGTTGAGCTGAAGGTGTGACTGGGCACGTTTCCCCGAGTCGCCAAAAAGGTGGTGTGCAACTGTTCGTGTCTGGCTTTCGCAGTGCAGTGCTGACTGTTTTGAACTCTGCAGTCCCACGAAGTTAGCAAATCCGATGTATGTTTAACACCCAGCTGTGACATGGCAGATCGGATGCCAAAGCGAGCTCGAGACGATGCTCCTTCCTTTCGATTGGACCGTTGGCTGGCTCGCTTGCTTTGTATACATGCATTGTTCGTGGTTTTACTGATTCGGAAGTGATGAGACCAGTTAAGGCCGATCGTCATCGTGGGTCATGACACCACATATAAGTGCCTAAGCCTTCATATGCCCCGAAAAAATTCAAACCCCAAACCCTAAACCCCTAAACCCGGGTGTGAGCGCCGAAACCCCTAAACCATAAACCCCGAAACTTTCTAACCCCTATCGAAAGCCGAAACCCTTAAACCTTAAACCCCGAAACTTCCTAACCCCTATCGAAACCTATGTGGCTTCTGAAGCAACGGTTGCAAAGTTGCCAAAATAAAGTGGAGCTCCGTATAATGAGCCCGCCCCTTATCCTAAAAAGGCCCTGATGCTCATTACATATGAGAATCGTCTTTGGGCACTGTTTGCCTTTAGGGACCTATACTTGGAAGGGCAGGGGACTTAGTAAGTAGGTTATATATGTATAATTGGGGTAACTCCATTTAGGGCACTTATAACTCTATACTTATATAACCTACTTACTAAGTCCCCTGCCCTTCCAAGTATAGGATATGAATTGTGGTTCAGGGTCTATATATAGTCTACAAGCTGAAATCCCCGTGGGGGTTGATGGAGCTCTGACTTCTTGGTGTTCTGATAAACTGGCAAATCCTTGAAAGTGTTTTGGCTGGATTGGGGTCGGCCGCTTTCTCAAAGCTCTATACCCCCTAAGCCCTAAACCCCAAAACCCTGCAATGTCCCATGGTCTCACATGTGGCCGTGCAAGTCTGATGTTGGGGCAGCATCGACCACTCCTTTTGCCGGCAGCTCGAACACTGCATGGTCATGTCTCGGAGCTCTAAACAGCACGACCAGATCTCCACGCACCGGCAGTTTAGCAAAGCTTTACTTCGTGATGTGTGTGCTAGAGCTACGAAGCATGTATGTGAGTATTGCCTATATAGGAAATCCCGAATTGTCAGGTTCATCGATAGCTGCCGCAGCATAGAATGCCATGGGTTGCCGTCGGAGCAAGCCAACATGCAGCGATCCCGGACAGCACAAAGGATAGTTACTTAGTTCGTAGCTGCTGCTCAATGACTCGATCATTCCAAACTCCGAAGCTGGTGCATGTTTTGTACTGAAGCCGAACTCACCGATCCCAGGTCCACATCGAGGTCGTCGTCCTGACACAGTTGCACCGAACATGCTTGAACTGCTCCTTGTTGGAATATAGATCTTGCTTTTGAGAGGGATCAGGCACGGAGTTTGTGTAAAGTTGCCGATCATGGGGTCAGCAGCAGTGAACGAGCCGCAGAGAAAACCCCAACCGCCGAAAACAAATAATCCCTGCCTCAGGACACGGGTGATATCGTCGCAGCAGTGTTGAACAACACCCTGGGATGAGCCGGTGCGACTCTTTGCTTATCATGATCAATCAACCCGTCGTATAGTTCTGATTTCTGTCTACCCTAAACCCCTAAAACCCTAAACCCTAAACCCTCTTGAGAAGTGCAGGAGTTCAGAGATTGATTGGTGTTTTTAGGTTTTGGAGCTTCAGGGTTTGAGGTTAACAAAGACTATACATGGGGGTTTCCGAAAATTAGGGATACCTTATTTTGGGGTTTTATAATATATATATATATATATATATAGGATCCTATATACTACTTAGGGTACTATATTGGGGTCCTCTATTTTCGGAAACTCCCATATACGGTCCTGGGCTGGCAACTATATATATATGTATATATATATATATATGTATATATATATATATATATAGCTTTGAACCCTCGATGCAAATATGTATCACGTATACTATATAGTATACATGATATAATGATACATATTTGCATCGAAGGTTCAAAGCTTACATAGGGGCTTTGGGTTCTACCCTAAGGGTACTATATTGGGGTCCTCTATTTTCGGAAACTTCCATATAGGGTCCTGGGCTGGCAACTATATAAGCTTTGAACCCTCGATGCAAATATGTATCATGTATACTATGTATAGTATACATGATACAATGATACATATTTGCATCGTTGGTTCAAAGCTTACATAGGGGCTTTGGGTTCTACCCTAATTAGTGATTCTTCTGTTTGAAAAGGCCAAATCTTTGTAATAAGTCAAGAACACTCGATCCTGGGAGGTCCCGCAAGCACCAGAACCCTGTAGTTTTAAAAGCCCGCAGAAGCCCCCGAAGTAAGTCGATCGTGCAATGCCTCGGCCCAAAAGTCCCGGAAAAAAACCTAAGCCCACACAAGTCCAGATTAAGCCAAAGCAAGTCTTTCAATTCCCGCAAAACCCTATAAACCCTATAAGCCCTATATGAAGAAAGCCTTTAGCTGCAACAGAAGCAAATGTTCTCGGCTCCCACAAGCCCGGCTACGTACCCGACAACCCTAAAGCCCGTAAAAGCCCTATAGGAGTAGTGTGTACATCGATACAGAGAAGCTTCGGAGCACAGCTCGCCCAGAACCGAAGAACCTTGCTGCTTGTGGAGCTCGCTCTCTCTCCAGAAGGCCGGCTTCGTAGTTTGGGGCTTTAGGGTTTTGGGGGGCTTCGGCTGTACATATATTATAATGGGTCTTTGGTCTTTGGGTCCACAAACAAATGCCAATGCCCTAAAACCCGAACCCTACACACGAAATTCCCAAAACCTATACACCGAAAAAATTATCTCTTGAACCCTAAAACCAATGCCTCGATCTTGACGGTTTATACCTGGCTGCCCAATGTCCTTAAGCTGTGCACATGAGTCCTGGACCCCTCCATAGACATCCTAAACTCTCACACACCCAAGAGGGTCAGAGGGTTCGAATCGATCGGCATTAAGCATAAACGGTTGCCTCCCCGCAAAGTGAAAATCGCCAAACCCTGAAAGCCGAAACCGGGGCACTTTTACGAGAACGAAAGCGAGAGAGAGAGAGAGAGAGAGAGAGAGACAAAGAGACGGGAGCACGAAGCCAAGTCTCACATCTTCTGCAGGTGATGCTGCACGGCACGGACACCCTGAGGAGATGCTGCATGGTGGACCCAAGACCGGGGTGCTGTCCAGTGCTAGAGGGCTCTGTTCGGGATTGCAAGTTGCTGCTTATCGGGTATGGCTGCAAGGTTTGTATGCATTAAGTTCGGTATCTACTTGCACGCAGGTCTTCATGGTAAGTTCTGTTTGTGGGGGGGTCGAGTCAAATATGTTATGTGCTTTTTAGTGGGAATCCTGAATATATATATATATATATATATATATATTCTGCTACTGGGACCCAAGTACCGAAACTTCTTCCGTGTGTGTATGCATATACATATATACACACACATGTGACATACATGTCGGTGTGTGTGTGTGTATATAGAATATATATCAAATATAGTTATCCTGTGATAGTGGATCATACCATATATATATATATATAATATAGAGAGAGAACATGCATCGTTTACATGGTGTAACATGCATATATATATATATATATGTATGTACAAAAGTCTTACATCGTGTAGCATTATATAGTTTGCAAATATTGTTACTGTACATACATATATATATCTATATATATATATATATATATACATATATATATATATATATATTTGTATGCATGCCTGCATACATATGTGTTTGTCTATAATATATATATATATATATATATATATATATATATATATATATTGATACACACACATGCATATGTGATATACATGTGTATGGAGGTGTGGTGAGGGTGTGCTGGGTGTTGGGGGGGCGGGGTTGGGGGGTGTGCTTGGTGGGCTGGTGGTGGGCTGGGGTTCTGGTGGCATTGGGCGTTTAGCTGGCTTTGCTCCATGGGTGGGGGTGGGGAGGGTGTGGTGGGAGGCTGGGGTTGTGGTGTCCGGCCACGCATCCGTCTTCAGCTGGCATCCAGGCGGGGGGGGTGGGGGGGTCTAGGGGGGTTTGGTCTGGGCTGTGTGCTGAATATGGGCCTGGAATTGTCGGGATGTGGGGTGTGGTGGCCTGGGGTGTGGTGGCTTTGGAGCCGAATAGGAGAGAAGGGCAGCAGGGGGAGGCTACCTTTTGGTTTTCGTTGGGGAACAAATTTTTTTCAAAGCTTTTTTCAGCATTTTTTCTTCCAAAGTCACCTTTGCCTTGCAAATGCGTTCGGACCCGTTGGAAGCGTTGGAGCATTTCTGCGACCCGTTGGAAGCGTTGGCGAAATGCGTTAAATGCATCAAATGCATACTCGTTGGAAGCGTTAAAAGCGTATGCGTTCAGAATGCGTTCAAAAAGCGTTCAAAATGCGTTCGGTATGCGTTCGGATGCGTTCGCCAAATGCGTTAAAAAAGCGTGGAATGCGTTCTCCCCATGATCCCAGTTTGGGCCCAGTTTTGAGGGCATTTCGGGCCAACTTGGGCTGCCCCAGTCAATCTAGTTCAGTTTTCCTAGGCAGCCAGACACAAACCTCTGCTGTTCCGGGGCGGGGCTGGGACTGCTGTGTCCATTATGAGCAAATATTGCCGCTGGTGAGCATTCTAAATACAGACACACAAACACACACACACACACACACACACACACACACACACACACACACACACATATATATATATATATATATATCCATATTTATATCACACACACACATATATATACATACACACACAGTTTATCATATATGGTATATATATATATATAATACACACATATACACATACATACATATAATATATATATATATACACATGTAAAACATATATGTATATATACACATATATATATATATATATATATTATATTATAGTATAGTATATTATATTATTATATTATATTATATTATATTATATTATTTATTATCTTATCTTATCTTATCTTATCTTATATTATATTATTTATATATTAAAGCCCATCGATCCCTAGACCCGACATGGACCGGTGCTTGGGTCCACGAGCTACAGCAAAACCTTGCAGACCCTCAAGGCCCGAAACCTTAAGCCCCAAGGCCCTAAACCCCTAGCTCCGAAAAGAACACACAAAACAGACTGTGTTGTGCTCCGTGGTTATCCAGAACAACCTCACAAACCTTGAACCCTCTAAAGGTTTTATAAATCATATAGGTCCCAAAAGAACCCACGCCTTCTCAAACCCGAACCCCTTAAATAAATCTTGACCCCCCCCGAACCCTAAACCCTATAAGGACCTCAAAGAACCGAAGCCCTGGCACAACACAGTGTGTGTCGAGCTTTGTGCTCGGTGCTAAAGAGAGAATTGCAGTGCTGCTCAAAAAGGTATCCAATATTGTGCCTCACTGAGACCTCGCTTGCACTGTGGCACGATCACTGCTGCACCGAAAGTTTCGCCATGCCTTGTGTGTGTGTATGTGTGTGTGCAACCCAAGCTTTTCTTTAACACCCCTGCATTTTGCATCTGGGGTGCTTCGATAGCCTGCACATGGCTTCCACTTCCGATGCCTGGGCCGCCAAGATGTCTGTAGAAGACTTGGTCAAGGGGGCAAAGGCAACCGCTGATCTGGCGGGTTTGGAGTTTGCCCTAGACACCTCCTTTCTATCAAGAGAAGCACTGCTGCAGGCCATTCAGGACTGCTTTGCTGCTCTACATCCTAGCCCGAAATCTTGCTGAGATTCCTGTATAATACACGAATCAACCCTGGTCAGGAGTGCAAGATGATCTTGAGAAAAGGATGCAAGGTCTCAACCTCTGTTGGTCCTGCCTGCTTCAATACAAAGCACGACCAGAGAATCAACAAAAGCATTTGATTGCGATCGCCAACTTTCCAGGCTACAGCAGCACCGAGCCCCCTTCTCGCTGTCAAGAATGAGCCGGTTAAGGCGGAACCAATTGAGATGCAGCAGACACAAGCAGCTGAGTATTGACTGCACTGGTTTCGTCAAAGTGTTTATCCTTCTCTGGTCCTTCTCTCTCTCCCCCCCTCGCTCTCTCTCTCTCTCTCTCTCTCTCTCTCTCTCTCTCTCTCTCTCTCTCTCTCTCTCTCTCTCACTCTCTCTCTCTTTCTCTCTCCTTGCTTCTTTTGCTGCTGAGGATACCCAGCAGCTGCCGCCCCTGCTTGCTCAGCCGGTGGCTGCATCTACTGGCATCCAGGAATTCGCTTTCCCTGTGTGCCCTGAACCCAAAAAAAACCCGACCTTCAACCCTAAACTTCCCTTTTGCTCGTCAGGACACCCAGCTGGAGCAGGACACCTTCGCTGCCGCACCTGAGACCGCCGCCGAGGATATCGGGGTTTGCACTTCTACTTCACACCCCTAATTAAGACCCCTATATAGACTCTATATAGACCCGAAAGTATATAGCAGGTATATAGTATAGGGATGTTGAATAAACAAAAGCACAGCTTACCGTCTGCTGTGCAACTCTCGCTGTGCACGAATCGCTGATATCTTAACCCTTTAAACACCCTAAGCCTTAAACCGAATGATAATCCCTACGTAACTCCCATAAACTGTTTGAGGAGCTGCAGAAGTCAGGGCCTTCGAGCCAACGGATGTTTGCAACTATACAGGTCGATGCAAGTCAGGGCCCCGATAGCCAGACCACGGAACCCGGTTCTCCAGAAGCCAAAGCACCGAATCTGCAGCCCCAAGCGAAAAGCCCACCGACACCCTTGCAGGCCCAAGCCAAGAGCCCAGCAACACCCGTACAGGCAAAGAGCCCGCCGCAGACACCCGTGCAGACCCTGGCCCAAGCGAGCAACCCACCGTCCGTGCAGCAAACTCAGAGCCCGCCGACACCGGCCCCAGCAAAGAGCCCACCGTCCGTGCAGCAAACTCAGAGCCCGCCGACACCGGCCCCAGCAAAGAGCCCACCGACACCGGCCCAAACAAAGAGCCCGCAGACACCGGCCCCAGCAAAGAGCCCGCAGACACCGGCCCAAGCAAAGAGCCCACAGACACCGGTCCAAGCAAAGAGCCCGCCGACACCGGCCCAAACCAACACTCCAGTGACACCTGTGCAGGCAAAGACTGGCCCGCCGACAATCGTGCAGGCCCAAACAAGCCCGGTGCAATCCAGCCCGCCGAAGCAATCTCCGCCCACGCCATCAGCAGCAGGCACACCGCCCGGCCAAACAAGAAACCCAAGCATCCCTGGAGCCTGCACCGACGTTTCGCTGTTGCAGGCAAAGATCAAGGAGCTGGAGCAACAGCTTGCAGCAACAAAAGCAGCACCCCCGAAACAAGTGCCGTGCCAAACCCCGCAAAACCGAATCCGATCCAAAGGCCAAGCGAGCCCTGCAGCTACTTCAGCCCAAGCAGCAGCACCAGCACCAGCTGCCGTCGCAGAAGACGAGGATGAGGAGGAGCCAGAGGAACAGGACGATCAAATCGGCAAGGTCATGGTGACCTCGCCAGACGGCACCATCGTTGCTTGATAGACTGGGGCTTAAGGCAAGATGTGGTTCAATTGGCTTCAAGTTCGGTTTGGAATTGTTGGTGCTTTTGTTTTGATCAACCCTAACACCCTGTATAAACCTTGTAGGATATGTCTAATATAGTTAAGGGGTTTAGGCTTAGGGGTTTAGGGTTTAGGATATATATGTATGTATATATATATATATAGTTGTGTTATATCCTTAAAAAGCCCCAAACCCTAAACCCCTAAAGCCGAAACCCTATATAGGATCCTCAGGTCTTGACCCAAGATGCATTGAGAATGCGGTTAAAGAGGATGTGCGAGCAAAAAAAGAAATCTCACAAGTGTCATGTCGACAATGAAACTCACGAGCAGTATGCCACTGGAGGGCCACAGCGAGAGTGGCTAGAGATGGCACTGCTAGAAGCATTGCAAGATGTGGGAACGGTTGCACTGGGACGTGGCAAGGCAGCCCACAAGCAAGTTCAGGCACCTAGCTTGCATGCACAAGTTATGAATTTCAGGGTTTATGGTTTCGGATTCTGAGGGCTTTCCCGCAAAGCCCGAACCCGTGATCCCAGAACCCAAACCCTTGAAAAGGCTCATATATAACCTTCTCGAAGCACTTAAGCACCTAGCCTGAAACTCCCCAAGCCGCCAAACACCATAGGCCTGATTCTCCTTGTGCTCCGGATTCTTGGCCAAGGCATCCTTCAAGGTCAGGGTGACACAGATTCGAGAACGCCAGATGCTCAAGGAGTCCGAGACGAACGGGGAATGGCTCACGGAGGAAAAAATGAACAAATCGGGTGAATACAGCAAGCTACTAGGCTTGATGATCTTTGTGCTTGCAACACCATTGAATGCAAGCGACACATGCAAGCAACCCAACCTAAGGCAGACCATCAAGTCGATCATTGCATTCTGTGAGCGATTTCCACAGATCTTGACGAGGCTCTGGTTCATGGATGTATCAGGATATCATAAAAAAACCATCACTCCTCAAACCCTGTGAGCGCCGAGACCCCCCCAAATCCAACAAGTACGAAAGCCCTAAAACCCTAAACCCGCCAACCCCCCTCCCTCGCTCTCTCTCTCTCTCTCTCTCGCTCTCTCTCGCTCTCTCTCTCTCTCTCTCTCTCTCTCTCTCTCTCTCTCTCTCTCTCTCTCTCTCTCTCTCTCTCTCTCTCTCTCTCTCTCTCTCTCTCTCTCTCTCTCTCTCTCTCTCTCTCTCTCTCTCTCTCTCTCTCTCTCTGCACATATATTATATACACCCACAAAGCCCTATAAAACCCTAAATCCCCCAAACCCTTTATAAACCCTTTCGTGCTTGACTACAGGAAATGGAAGTACGACAACAGTGTAACGGAGTACTTCGTTGAGATTTCGACAAAACAGACCATCAAGCACAGCGAGCTGCTGAAACGCATCGAGAACATGGATCTTGGAGATGCCCAGCTGCATTGGGACGGCGATAGCATGAACCTGGGTTGCAGTCACTTCTGCTACTGAGGAACAAAATCCTGGCGACATGCCGATGTCCCTGGATGCACCTGCTATGGTGGACGAAAGCAAAGCACAGCCGAAGCCAGAGCAGGTGGGAGACAAGGCCATGGAAGTTTCAGATTAACAATCCCTATAACCTTAAACCCGATAAAACATACACCCTGCAGCTGACTTATAAACCTTTTATTGCTGCAGACTCTGCCCGACCTTGTGAAGCTGATGGATTCCGTGCATGGCCACATGGCTTCGATCGCCAAGCTGCAGAAAACGATTTCCGATTCCGAAGATGGTCCTAAATTGCCCCCGGCCAAAGCGGAGACACTTTGGCTATAGAGTTAACAAGTTCCGTCAAACAGTTTTCCTGCATGTGTTTGTGTCCACGTTTCAAGAACTCGCTGCCTAAGTCTGATGAAAGACCTGGACCGCATCGATAAATCCTTTCAAGATGCCTTCAATGAGCTGGCGAAAGTGAAGGCCGAGCTAATGATTTGCGAATCGGAAACGATGACCCCCGAGCTTCTCAGATTGCCATTGTGCTAAGCCCCGAATTCCAAAACCTACATCCGCAGAATCTTATAATCCCAAACTCAGCCCAGGTGCCTGCAGAAGGTGATCAGTGCCAAGGACACCATCAAGAAGCCGCAGCTCGCCTCATGTGCTTTTGAAGTTGTTGTGGGGCTACTGTACCAGGATGTGACTGCCTCACGTGTGATTCTAAGGTGTGCCGAACTGATTGCAATGGAGTCTCGGGTGAAGCTTCTCGTTTTAATGGCTTTTGGTCGTTTGCATTCACACATGCATGTTCGAAACAATGCTTGATAACTCTTCTGAAGATATCTGCAAGGTTGGTGCTCCTGGAGCTGAAGAAGAGTCTCAAGCGACCGAGCGATCACCAGCAAGCGGAGCCCAAGAAAAATCCACGCAAGAAGAAGTGAAGCTGTGTCCTTTCGACTTCTGTACAGCTGTTAAAGTGTTGAAGCTTGCCGGCTGGTGTGGTGTGTGAATCCACATGCTGCATTGCTACATGCAAATCCAGTGCAAAGCCCGTTAATTCCGCAGGATCCATAGGATGCCGTTCGCTGTGTGACAACACAGAACCCTGGGACGCAGGACAAAAACCCGAGATGTATGCTGGCCTGCTATCGAACACCCGATGCATACACTATAACAGCAAACCCTTTCAAATGCCAGGTCCTTCCGATGCTGCCCAGCGACTGGCATGGAGCTATGCCAATGGGGTGGCTCGCATCCATGGGGGAACCATCTATCGAAGAGGGAATTCATTGACGAGTTCTTGTTATAGGTTGAGGTATGGGTTTGTATATGGTAATTCTTCTCGAGGGTGAAAGAGGAGCCTTAAGCCTAAGCCGTACATAGGTCCCTATGAGAGCCCTTTATAAACCGTCACGTCTGGGGTGCATTCCTGCTTCCGAGGCTCCGTGCACTGACATTATCCAGCAGGCTACTACAATCGTGCAGTATGACATGCGAGATCGAGAAGAACAACGGAATATGCAAGTGTGCCCTGTTCTTCTGCAGCTTTACGATGCACCCGAGTCGAAGTCAGTGCTTCAGCATGCAATGTAATGTTCATTGAGCCACTTATGCAGCCGACAGCATGCAGGCACTTCGTAGGTTTCAATATATACTTCCATAAAGTTACTCATATAGCAGTGTTTTGGGGTAGATCGAGGCTTTTGTAAACGGAGTTGGTGTTTCCGGTTATTCTTGGTTCCTGAGGAGAGTGTGGTGGCCCGGGTTTTTGCCAAAGCAGGTTTGCGACTGGATGTGAAGATATGTTATGCACATATTGGCCAACACCGCGAGCACCCATACATCCCTGTGTCATCTTGGATTCAGACTTTAGACAAAGCCGGCAGGCTAGGTAAACTGGTGAGCTGCTCACTGGACGACTTGCCCAAAATGCTTGAATCTTATTGGGACAACTTCAAGCAGCTCCACCCCACACATCAAATCTTCAATCTGCAAGTTCCCTTGAGCCGCTGTCTCCCAGTGCTTTTGCACGGGGATGAAGGAACCACTTACAAACGAGATGGGGCATTGGTACTATCATTTCAATCGCCACTGGGGAGAGGCACCTCCAAGAACAAAGTGGGCAATGTGGCCGGCGACAACAAACAGCTATTGAACTTCGTTGGGCATGCTTTTCAAAGCAGGTTTTTGATTGTGGCTGGTTTAAAGGAGGACTATCGAAACAATCCGGATATTTACAAGCAGTATTTGGAGTTGGCTACAGCCTCGTTGGATGATGCATGCCGACAAGGGGTCCAACTTCAATCAGGTCAAATGCTGCATCTCGTACCTGTTGGCCTGAAAGGCGATTGGTCCTTTCTGGTTCCTTGTGCTCATGTTCGTTTTTTGTCTACTTTCGTGAGTATACATCCTCAAAAGAACGGGTTGTTTAGCTCATTGGACCCTGATTCAGGCTGCCAGTGCAGACATGAACCGATCGTACAAGAATGGGCCCAAGGCTCAAAAAGCCAGCAAGCCTTGTACAGGCATTTGCCATCTTTGTCTGGCCGGAAGGCCAGAAAACGACTTCGAAGATCTGTGCCCCATCATGTTCAGATTTTATTGGGTTGATCTCCCTCCCAACCTCGCATAAAGCTTGGCAGCTACTTTCTGGATGTGTCTCTGTTCCTTAAGCCGAGGTCTACAACTCCAAGATTTGCAACTACTTTTGGGGCTGAGTTGCCATGGGACGAGGAGCCCTGCTTCACCAGAGTTTTGCTCCACGAGCCGGATCGCAAGGAAACTTTCTACAAAGTTGATGTATTTCACACTGTCAGCATCGGCATTGGCAAAACCTACGCAGCCAGCTGCTTGGCTCACCTGCAAGAGTTTTGCCCTGGGACTTCGGTTGACTTGAGGCTGGAGGAGCTTTCGGCACATTATCTCGAGTTTTGCAAAGATCCTGGGCTCCATAAATATGTTTCGCTTTGTTGATGTTGCCCATGGACAAGCTTTTTCGGTCAATAGATATATGATCGAAACACACACAAATCAGGAGAACAGAATCACCAATTTCGTTCAGCGATTGACGAGGGACACCTTGGCATGGAAAAGTGCCACCGTGGAGGCTTCTGGAGGCTGGAATAAGGGTGCCCTGACAACAAGCCTTTGCCTCTTCATCCAGCATATAAGCACTCTCTGGAACCTGGCAAATCATGCCGACGAAATGAGCCGTCTTATTGTCTCTTGGCAAGATTTCCTTTTTGGCTTTTATAAGGTTTCGGATCGTGTGTGCAACTTTTCCTAACTTAAGTCGCATGAGCAGAAGGCATCGTCGAGTCGTGCACTCAATGATTGGATGCGAATGCTACATTCTGGGGGAGCTTGGCTGTCGAGACAGGATGCTAATCGCATCAACCTGGCTGGACGCCATTTCCTTGATTGTTATGGCCGTTTAGCACGTATTTGTCATTCGAGATCCGAGCTCAAGTTCGCCTTGGTGCCGAAAGTACATATGTACTGGCACCTTGTTCACAACATGATCGATCAAACAACCAAGCATGGCTTCTGCGAGAATCCTTTGAGCGAAAGCTGCAGCATCGATGAAGATTTTATTGGCAAATTTTGCCAGTTGACACGTTCCGTGAGCCCCAGACTGCGAATACAGAGGGCTCTCGAGCGATATCTCTGTCATGTGCAGTTGTTGTGGCAGCGAGAAGCAGTGGCCACGCCTTGAAAAATCGAGTTCCGAACTGCGGTCCCTTCTCCCGACACCTCAACCCAAAACCAGAGCATAACCCCATGAACAGTATACTGTTGAGCCACCCACATGTGTTGAACACCGATTCCAGCAAATCAAAGAGCCGAGTCAAGAATATGCGTTCAACCCGTTCGTGGGTCAATTTTAAGCGTGGGCAACATAATTATACGTTCGGTGCTGATGGTTCCTACACCTTTTCCAGATTGCACACTAATTGTTGGCACACAGGCTTAGCAGGTATATATATATATATATATATATATATATGTGTGTGTAGAAACACACAAACACGTGTACATGTACATATTGTATGTGTGTATATATATATATATACATATATATATATATATATGTATGTAAAGATGTGTTTATATGTATGTATGTATGTATGTATACATACATACATACATACATATATACATATATATATATATATACATATATATATATATATATCACATACAGGGTCTCGGATCGAAACCACTGGAAAGACAGTGGTTATAGCCGGCGTACCCCAAGTGCCGATACGGTAGGCACGACCGCGTAGTGCCATACGGCGAAATCTCCGCCCTGGCACCGACGAGAAAGGCTGCGCAGATCAAAGGCACGTGCTGCCATCAAAGCTGCGCGCCAACGAGGTCTTCCTGGCCCGAAAAGAGCAGTACAGCTGCTCGCCAGGCACCACAGCCAACCTTGCTACCGTGAGTCCATGGGACGTGGTGGCAAAGCGAAATGGGCTGGATGGACAGACGAAGATTCCTCCTGGTCCTCATCTTCATATGGGTATCGCAATCCCAAGAGTGCGGGCAAGGGCAAGAAGTACAAGGAGCAGTGGCCGGAGACGGACAATGCCCAGCCACGCGGGGGAGCGTTCCCATCCTTCGAAGAGATGCAACCCTCTACGGCACCTCGAATGACTCCGACATCACGAGAAGAGCCAGAGGAAATGCTGGAGCTACCCGAAACCGGCCATTACCTCAACGGGGTCCAGCGAGGACTCAACGGAGTGAGAAAGGCGGTTACCCGAGCTCGCAAAGTGGAGGCAGAAGCGAAGCAACTCGATTTGAAGTGGGACCTCTTCAAGCAGAGCCTCCAGGATGCATACATGGCCGAACGCAAGAAGTTCAAGGAGAAGAAGCAAAAGCTTGCGGAGACGATGGAGGACCTGATGAATGCCAAAGAGCAGGCCCTGATCGAGCTCAAGGAGATCATGACCAAGGGCAAGAAGGTGGCCAAGCCCAAGGAGACCCCCGACTCCGAGGCCCTGGAGGAACTACGACAACTCCTAATGGAACCTGGACAAGACAAAGAGGAGGACTTTGCCCAGATACTCATGGAAGCCTGCCAAGGCGAGGAGATGACGAAGGAGACGGCAAGGTCCAACATTCTTGCCATCCTCCAGGAGCACAGCCGCAGGAAAGAGGGCCCTACTACTCCCGAGAGACGCCCTGGAAACCCGGCCCCGCGGACACCACCGGCACCCTCTTATGCCCCGAGCAGAATGTCCATGGACCTGGGCGAGACTGGAACCGGCGAGAACAACCAAGCTCATCGCGACCCTTACATGTCTTCGCCATCGAATACAGGTCTACTTCCATCCACCTCGCCGCGGGAGCTCCGTTCCAGATCGAGATCCTCAACCCGTACGCCCATCAAGTTTGTGGGGAGGAAGCCGACGCTGGGCAGTACCCCAGGAACCTCGCTTTCCCGCAAACTTTCCGAACGGAGGGCAGCCGCCATGGAGGATATCCAGGAGATCGGCGACGGGGACACGGACGAGGACATCAACATTGCCGAGCTCGAGCGCGGGACCCGGGCGGAGAACACCAAGTAGTGTGGACTACTGGTGCAGTGACAGCGAATTATGAACAGGTTGGCGGGCTTTTTCGGTTTGTCTTGCCTTCACCTGTGACGAAGCTGCACCCTTTTGATGACGAGGCCTGTGTTGACACCCAATCTCGGTCACCCAGGCAAGATTTTGTTGTTACAACTGGGCTTCTTCGGTGTGTCCCAGACAAATTCGATTGGAGGCACGGCCCTTCGGGAGGCCACGACCTCGTTGATTCTACATTGGCCCCTGGTTTCGAGTGGAGCCTCAGCGACTGCTGGAAATGGCTGCCAATTTGGCAGAAGGCCAGCGGCGACTACGACATGAATGCAGGCTGCCTCTGTAGCCCTACTCTTGGGCTTCCAGAATGCAGC